GGATGGATATTAGTTGAGTACACCAGATAAGCAGTGGCCCTCTGATTGGCTCTGTCCCCGTACCGCGACCAGAGGGCCAAGGTGTTTCCTCCCAAACGTAACATCGCTTTCCGCTTTATCACCATAAACTTAATCCCAGTGTGCTAATATGACCTTAGAACAGAGGTTCCCAAACTTTCATACCTTTCGCCCCCCTTAAAACATTTTATAAATTTCACGCCCCCCTTCCAGAACAAGTGCAAGCTAACAGATTTGACATAAAATTTAGCTATGAGTATATATATTTTTTTATAATTTAGTATATATTATTCAATGCGTTTAATTTAAAACACTGTAATAAAATATACGTTTCATACAAAGGATGTTTAAAATGTTTCTCCATATTTCGTTAAAAAACTTTTTTCATACAAACAACACCCCCCTCCCCCTAGGGGGGACGGCGCCTCACACTTTGGGATCCTCTGACTTACAATTAAAGCGCCGTCGCGTAATTTGTGAACTGCTAATTTTACCTACCTCGTGCCTCGTTTATGTTTACTTCTGTTCCATGCACATCCTGAATAGACTTTAATATCCAACTCTGGATCCACCGCGCGATAATTCAGATTCTGTGGTTGCAGAAAGCCGGTGTTTGGTAAATGGCACCTCGAGTGAGCTGGGCAAGGTGAACTGGAACGTGCTTGGAGCGCTTTTATCAGAGGCGGCAGTCAAGGACGTTTTCCTTCCGAATTACATGCCCCGAGACTAGATAAAAAAGGTTGCTTCACATTACATCAACCGAATTATTTATTGCGTTTCATTATTTAACAGTTCTGCTTCAATGTCAGCGACTTTGCAGTAACGAATGGAATGTGACGATTTTTGAATGGCAAGGATTTGGAAATGTATGGTCATGGTCAGTATTTAAGGTATTATCCTGGTGAAATTGAGTAAAATCACGAATATCCCGGCCGAGCTAACGTCATAGCTTGGCCGGGATTCGAACCTCACAAATATAGGTCAGAAGTGTTACCACTGTACTAACATTCTTGATAGCACAAGGGATAGAATGAGAATAAGAATATACGTAACGGTCGTGGCCTATTTAATGTGTTTATTACAATGTTTGTTGAATACTTATTCTCTTAATACATATATTTATTCTTCAAGTCTATACACAAAACATTTTAATATTGATGTTTAAAATTAAAATTGATATAAATAATTCGCGCTATTCATCGTTTCCTCGATGTTACAATTTGCGCTATATATTACAACATGTTTCGATGTCTCAGCATCATCTTCAGGTTTATTTTTTAAAACTATTCAATATTTTTTAATGCACGCTTTTCGGTAATTGTAGGTTGTAGTATAAAAATAAACCTGAAGATGATGCTGAGACATCGAAACATGTTGTAATATATAGCGCAAATTGTAACATCGAGAAAAACGATGAATAGCGCGAATTATTTATATCAATTTTAATTTTAAACATCAATATTAAAATGTTTTGTGTATAGACTTGAAGAATAAATATATGTATCAATTGAAAACACAAACATGACGCATCTAAACTATAAACTTATTCTCTTAATTTCATTATAATTTTTTTAACGATTACTGTGTTTCCTATTGATTGGAGATTCCCAGAAATATTATTAACAATTTCAAGCCCGAAAATTTATTAATCCAGTCCGTACCGAAAAGAAAACACAACTTTTCGTCATTACAAAGATCAAGTCGAAACTTACGTCTGGCTTCCGATCGTGTGTAATAAAATGAAAGGCTTTCGAAGGCCCTTAGAAAGGGATTGAAAATTCACTTTGAAACTGACTGATGATTCCTGTGTCATGGCTTGCGATCGTCACGAGTAAAATCTTCAATGTCTTCGGCCCTGTGGTCTGTTGGTCTCATGTCAGTGCGCTTGTGGGGACTCCCCAGCGAACTCAAACGTTCTTACAGCACAAACAGGTATCCAGTTTAACTGAGTGCTTTTTGCATACTGCTAATGATGCCTACAGCCTTCGGGAACTTGATCTTGAGTGACCATGATCTTTGAAGTTAACTACAGAAAAAGTCGGGGAAATCATGCAGGACCACGTTCGTTGTCAAGTGTAAAGGCCACTCCCGTTCCAGGAAGTCTGTCCAAATGTTTAAAGGATGAATTGGTTCAGACGTAATCATATGAATATTATAAAGTTTCTAAACCCCTGACTCTAGACGGCGAGAAGTGAGGAGTGCCTTTAGGGTCTCGAAATATTCAACTCGAGTGGCCTTGAAGGCCTTGCACTTTTTATGGGCGGTCAGTGCAGAAACGTGTTACAGACATTTTGTTTCTTTTGTCAAAGTCTTCAGTGCCATTTATGGTATCGTAAGAATGAGTTATTTAATGACCCTGTACCGAATACAGAGTTCACTAGATTGATATTAACCAACTGAAAGGCTAGGTTTTTTTTTTTATTTAGGGACTGGTCACAAAACAAACTGTTATTTGCTTTAAACAGAGTCAAGTCATCCAATGACCTGTGGTAAGAAATTTCAATGCCTGACGTGAGTTAGTACAAGTTCTCGCTTTATTGATTTAGTACTAAAAAATAAACAACTTTTACTTCAGAGGCCAGACAAGAGCAGGGTCAGACCCTAACATGGGTCTGAGGGTGTAACAATGAGGGTGCACTTTTTGTGGCTGGTGATAATAGATGAGTATGGAGCAACGATGGATTGATGATTGGCAGGGGAGCTTCAAGGTTTGGACTTCGCAGTCTGTGTGGTCTCTCTGTTTCCCATAAATAAAAGAGTTAAGTCATAAGAGTGACACACAAACATTATTGTCAGTAATGGATAACCTGCAGATGGCAACTCTTGAGGACACGCGTCAATGCAGGCGCACCAACAGTTCTTAGTTACAGAACAACGTACGAGTATAGGCCTGTAACTCTTAACTGTGTTAAGGATAATAATCGGAATAAAATCTGTCAAATGAATGACTACCTCCTTCTCCTCCTCCTCTTCCTCCTTTTTCTTCTCCTTCTCCTTCTTCTTCTCCTTCTCCTTCTCCTTCTCCTCCTCCTTCTCCTGCTTCTTCTCCTTCTTCTTCTCCTTCTTCTTCTTCTCCTTCTCCTCCTCCTCCTCCTCCTCCTTCTTCTCCTTCTCCTCCTCCTCCTGCTTCTTCTCCTTCTTCTCCTTCTCCTTCTTCTCCTTCTCCTTCTCCTCCTCCTGCTTCTTCTTCTCCCCCTCCTTCTCCTCCTCCTCTTCCTCCTTTTTCTTCTCCTTTTTCTTCTCCTTCTCCTTCTCCTTCTCCTTCT